CTATCTGTATTTATATCCTGGACCCGGATGTCACGCAGGTAGCTATAGCTGCCTGCCTACGTGGTGATTCTGATAGTTTTCTTGTAAACACCAATTAACTGAAACTAGAAATATGCGGTTGGCTCCTGTTATTGACTCCGTGCGTATGTGTTGTTTCCTGCTTTCGGCAAACAAGTGTTGTCCATCTTTACACTTGGCTTCATCGCGCTGATGAGGCCAATAGCCAGAAATACGTGTCCGCGGTTTGCCCCCATTTTTGGAGTGTTGTGTCCACGAATTGTTTTCATTTTTGATTTGTATCATGCACACTCGATAAAATCTCTCTCTCTATATATACGAGGTATGTTAAAAAAATAAGGTAAACGTTCAAACTTCGCGGGCTACGTACATTCGATTATTAGCGAGCTTTTATGCTGGTACACTCCTCTCGAACATATGTTCACACTTTGATCTGTTTAGCATGTTCAGTTTGTTGGTGAGAGGCATAAAAGTTAGAAGTGTTTTGCCTGTTCGGCGATTTTCTGGCTATCGAAAAAAATTGATCATAGAATTTACATCAAAGTTGTGTAAAAAATGAAATTAAGTGCTCAGAAACACTTGAATGTTGACAGTTGCATACGGTGATTCTATTCTCAGTCGGCAAAATGTTCACAAGTGGTATAAACTTTTCGCAGAAGGTCGAGTAGATGTGGATGACGACACTCGCCCTGGACGCTGCAGCACATCAACAACCGATGAAAATGTCGAGAAGGTGAAGTAAATTGTAAATTGAAAAGATGACGGTATATCGGTTGGCTCATGTCATATTTTTTCGAAAATTTAGGGCATGAAGCGTGCGATAGCGAAGTTCGTTCCAAAATTGCTGAATTTTTAACAAAAAAAAACCGTTGCATGAGCATCGCTTAGAAATTGTTGAATGACGTTTACGTCGATCCAGATTTGCTTTAAAAGGTCATAACTGGTGACGAATTATGGGTATATGATTATGATATGGAAACCAAAGTCCAATCGCATCAATGGAAGAGCCCAGGAGAGCCAAGACCAAAAAAGCACGGTAAGTTCGATAATATGTCTAGGTTTTGCTCACTGTTTTCCTCGATTACTGTGGCGTAGTGTTCCAGGAGTTCTTGTCGCATGGTAGTACGGTCAATAAGGAGTATTACATTGAAGAAAATGTCTTTTATTGTGGAAAAACAATTTATGGTTTCTGCATCACGATGATGCACCTGTCACTCGTCATTGCTTGTTCGTAATTTTTTGGCTAAAAACAACACCGCCACGATTATTCAGCCACCGTATTCACCAGATTTGCACCCTGCGACTTTTTTCTGTTACCAAGAATGAAGAAATGCTTGAAAAGACGGCGTTTCGCGATGAACTGGATCACTGGATCTAGCTGCGAATTAGTCCACGTTGACTGTAGAATTGGTGGTTCGTATTGGATAATTTTTACTAACCGAGTTTTATGATTGGATGAAGAGTCATAAAATTGAATTTGCAGTTATGTTACGGTGACGAGTTGAAGTCTGGGAATGCGGGAATGGTTATCGCCGTCGGGCTATCAATGTTCAGTCCAGGAACTGATCGCGATTTGAGTGTTGAAAGTCGATATTGGTGCAATTATAATTACTTAAAATTTTTGTTATCAGTTTAAAATGTAGCGTCCTTGGACAAGTACCAATAGTACCTAATAACGAGTGTGATATAACAACGCAGACTTTTTCCTGTGTATTGGTTCCAATAGCGATGGTGAACAATGCGAAAAAGAGATACCAGCGAATGAGATTCGGATGCATTTGAATATTGAAACACAGAGAGTATGTTTCAATGTATATAAGAATCTATATCTCAAGTTTAGTTTCGAGGGAAACAAACTACTACAAGCAACATCAGATTTGACCGAAATTTCTTTCTCAACTGTACGTAAAATAGTCAAAAACAAACCTTATGAATGCAAGACGCGATGTGATGCGGGATTACCAAAACCTTTAGATGTTCATCTAATAAAATCATTAAAAAAACAATATACGACTGTTACAAACGCAAAGAGATTTCTACATTTGAAATCATAAGGAAGAAATTGAATAGTTTATTGCCAATTGCATATGCAGGACATTTTCTGTGAAAATTCCTGCACTGACGCCTGTCGGATATAATCCAACGCCCTTCGTGGTATTAGCCATGGAAGTAGTTGTTTTCTGATAGGCGTCAGTCCATTAAACCTACTGTGTAGGTATATAGAGACTGGCTTGAACGTTTGAAGTTCCATTTACTTTAGATTTGTTTACGGCCAGTCTTCAAGCATAGCCCACTGACTAATAAGAAAATAAAAATATCTCTTCATAAAAAAAATAAAGAAATTAGAAAAGTTAAATAGTCGTAATAATGAAGATAGAATTTCGATTTATTTTTTTTTTATATTTGGTAAGTTAAATTTACTCTCTTTGATTTTCACATTATATTATGAGAATGCCACGAAAGTGCGTATGTAGGCACGCGCTGTTGAAGCAAAGAAAAAGGACTTGTGAAGAATGTATGAGCGTTCTTTATTCGAACCGACGCGACGGTAAGAACTGAGAACACAATCTTCATAGAAAAGAAACCGCTTCATAACCATTCAGCCAATAAAGTTTCGAGACGAACCGAACAGCGCTTACAAAGTTGCCTAAAAAACGAGGAAATCGATGCGTGAAGCTCGTCGCATCACATGTGGCGCTCAGCGGAGTCCAATTGGTCGGCGTCATGTGGGCGGAAACTATCAGCTGACGACACGCCTCTGGAGATTTACGGGCGACAGCAAGCAGCGCGGCGGATATCGGGTTGGCCATGGAGAGAAATAACCGGACGCTGACGACGGACTGGGAACGTTGAACGCGACGCCTGGGATTGTTGTGCTGTAATGTCGATCGATAGAATAAGAACAGCAGGATTGAAAATCAGTGGAAGGTACGTAGACTAGTTCAGAAGCTTATTAGAAACACAAGAAAGAGAAAAACAATTACAAAAGGTAGGAAATATTGTTTGAAACAAACACAAATTAGAGTTCAGAAGTTTATCAGAAACGCAAGAAAGAGAAAAATGATTACAAAAAGTAGAAAATTTTGTTTATAACAAAACAATGAAATAAAATTGATTTAAGGTTCGTGGAAAGAAATGGGATGAATTTGAGGGGTGGAAAATGGTTTTTCATTATTTCCACTGAAACTAGAATACCATTTCTTTTCCCTACAAAAAATTGTTTTTCACGATTTATGGTGAAAACTTTTTTGTGTTCTGAATACGCTATGATTTTTGTATCCAAATAGTCAGCGAAACATTTTTTATTTTGATGTTAAACCATAAAAAAACCTCATTTTTCAGTCTAAAATACCCATGAGCTGAAAATGTTTTTTAATTACCAGTGGTACATATTTTTTTGTAGAATTATCTATACTTTCAGACGATGTGAAATAAAAAAAAACATTAGATACTTTGAAAACAGCTGATTTTTTTTTAATTTCCAGATTTCCAAACTAATTTTTCCATGATATTTTCACTTTTATGTATAGGTGCCTACCACCGTTGCTTATAAAAACAACTGTTTCTAGGACACTGATATTTTAATAGGGCGTATATTTTAGATTAAACATAAAATCCCTATTATTATAATTGAAAGAAATCAATTTTTCAGAGTACAAAAAGTTGAATTCTCTTTAAAAATCGTGAGAAGTAAACAACCCGTCGAAAGACAAAAGTGATTCCTTAGAAATGGCCGCTAGATCACCTGATATAGGTAGGTGTACGATATAGGTATGCAAAAATTAAATTTGTGAACACAAACTCC